CTACCAGCCTTGGACTCCCAAAGTCCTGAGATTATAGGTGTGAGCCACCGTGCCAGGCTCATAACAACAAATATGATAAGTAATATTTATCAAACATTTACTACATGCCAGACAATGTTTCTTAATAGAAGCGTCCTGAGTCCTTACAGCAATGTCATGAGGGCAGTACTATTACTAGTCTCATTTAATGGATGGGTAAACCGAGGCACAGTCTCATGAAACCACCAGCCTGCACAATAGGAAAGCAGTGAAGTCAGCCTTTGAGGATAACTAAGTCTGTCTCCAAAGCCAGCACTAGTCTCTACTACCCTTTACTGCCTGGAAGGGAGTAACTTGCCCAAGGTCACCTGCCCTACAGTTCTCTAAGCTGGGATTCACAGCCAGGAGCTGCTGACTTTAAAGTCCATAGTGTCTTTTTGTGCTTCGCTGACCAGCTCACCCCCTGCTCCGGGCCACTGGCAGCTGGCCTGGTACACAGCAGGTGCTCCCCCCAGTGCTAGGTGGATGAGTCAGGAATAGCCCGAAGAGAGTCAGCACAAGGATGGGAGCTGCAGTCTTCATTTCCCATCTCAGTGGGAGATGGTGGTCCTGGCTCTGGCCTACATTATCTCTTTGGCTTGTTGGCCCAGAAGAACTGTGCCGCTGCATCACTTGGGACTCAGCCGTGAGTCCCTTCCAGATGAGGCCTTTGCTAATCCGACCCCACAGGACCTCAGACTCTGGGGTCAGGGGTGGGTTGATCTGAATCCCACTCTCTCTGCCTGTCAGAAGCAGTCTGGAGAAACAGGGGACTTTGCTGGGGAGAGTTCAGTAAAAAGTCAGTTGGGCAAACCAAAGAGATGGTGGCAACAGGCCAAAACGATCCAACAGACCCCGTCAGTGGCCCTGGGAAGGCGCCTACGGGTTGTGCCAACATGATTACGCAAGACCCCAGGAAGCATTTATATCAATTTGATGTCCATCGTTTTGCTAGGTGGGCAAAAAGGTAGAAAATTCTATTAAAATTTGATACTGAGTTACGTTTTTTAAGACATGGGAATCTTTATGCATAATGATGAGAATAAGAAAAGAGACAATCTAATGCCAGACCCCAACATCTCTCCTGGATCTGGTGATGTCACCACACGCAGAACCCTATCTGATGCCGGATGCCACCATCTCTCCTGGATCTGGTGATATCACCACATGGGGAAACCTACCTGCGAGGTTTCTTGGGAATATGCTTTCCTGTGAGGGATCTCGCTGTCTGAATGAATTATTCCTAATTTGCACAAAACACACACAGGCAGGACTATCACTAAATGTAAGACTAACATCAGATGTGGCACATGCTCAAAAGAAATAAGTTCATCTGTTCACCAAAGACACATACAAGAATGCTCATCGGAGCTTTATTCCTAAAGCTCAGAACATAAGGCAACCCACGTGTCTGTCAACAGGTGACTAGGAAAACACACTGAGGTGCAGTCGTGCAATGAACTATTGCAGGACGTTGGTAAAGAAGGGCTGCTGAGTCGTGCAAAAACATGGTCCTAGTGTCCAGACCCTCCAGCGCACCAGGAGCCAGAAGCGAACGAATGCACACTGTACAATCCTATGTGTGCACTGCAAAGCCAGCGAGGGTGACAGAAGTCAGAACAGCGCCACCTCTGGGGGTGCTGACTGAGATTGTGCCCGAGGGAGCCTTCTGGGAGGCGGAAATGCTCTATCTTGATCAAGAAGGTGGATTATATGGGTGTAGACATGGAAGAATTCAGCCATCTTAGTCTCGGCTGATTGATTTGCAAGACCCAATGCAAAATGAAAATGAGGAGTCTCTTGTTAAAAACTTCTTAAGACTTTCAGGACAGCAACAGCAAAGCATTAAATGAAGAGTGGGTCCTTCTAAGTGTGGGTCCCTGTGTTACTGTACAGAGCCCATACCCATGAAGTGGGGTCTGGTTAAGCTGAGCACCAAGTTTAGTGCACTTTATAGGAGTGAAGTGATGTGTCCCAGGTAAGGAGAAAGGATCACTGGTGATTTTCCATGCAGGGCAAATATGGCAGTCAGTTAGGTTATACGTCAATAAAATGTGTGTGTGTGTGTGTGTGTGTGTGTAAAGAACATACATAGAAATAGAAAGAAATTGTATTTTGGGGGTGTTGGAGAAGGGGTGATTTTTAATGAAGGCTATGTCTCCAAATCATTCTTTTACAAACTTCCTATTTGACTTAACAGCACTGACTTCCTGGTACTGTGGCCAGGCAGGCTGCAGAGAGCTTGTTAAACTGGCTTCTTCTAAGAAGAAGAGCTAAGTCAAGCTGAAATTTATAGTATTCAATTATGCTTCAGAAAGACCAGTGGGGACAGGAAGGACCCTCTCCAGAGGTATCCCACAGAAATGGCATGGGTAGGAAGAGGGGTGTTTCAGTCCAGCTAGACTTCCCAGAGGCAGGTCAGGGGTCAGCCACAGAAAGTCTGTGAGACAGAGCAGGGAAGCAGGGAGGGACCCCCAGGGGAAGGGAGGCAGTGATGTGTCCTAGGCAGGGAGGAAGGATTGTTAATGAGTTTCCATGAAGGGCAAGTTCATCTGCCCGGAACCTGCAGTTGGGGCAGGGAATCACGGAGAGAACTCCCACAAACTAGGATGGGTCTTAGCAGCTGGCTCCAACTCTGGTTGGTGATTTTCTTCTTTCTCCTAAGTTTTCTTTTCCCCTTTGCTCACAGGAGACAAGAGTCAAGGGCGAAGAGACAGCCCAGTGAGGTTGGACCTACTAGGGAAGGGCCAGAGTTGACCAGGACTCCTGCCCTGAGCACCTTTAGAAACATCGAGACCATCTTGGCCAACATGGTGAAACCCCGTCTCTACTAAAAATACAAAAATTAGCCAGGTGTGGTGACACATGCCTGTAGTCCCAGCTACTTGGGAGGCTGAGGCAGAAGAATTTCTTGAATCCAGGAGGCGGAGGTTGCATTGAGCTGAGATTGTGCCACTGCATTCCAGCCTGATGACAGAGTGAGATTCTGTCTCAAAAAACAAAACAAAACAAACAAAAAAAAGAAATTGGCAATTCCCAGAAGTCAGCCAGGTCAAGAGCCCGGCTTCTGAGGATGTGGGATGGAGTGATCCCATCAGCAAAGACACCGCAGGGCTCAGGGCCGAAGCTAGAGCTTTGGAGTGACAGAACTAGGCTCACGTCTCTCACCCTTTCCCTGTTGTTTACCCACCTCCCCAAGGTCATGAGCAGTGTAGCCTGAAATCCAAGTTTAAATCTGTCAGCTTCAGGTGTCTCATCATCTAAAAGTGAGAATTAGTAAGGAATAACACTTGACCCACTACTTGTCACATAGTAGTAGCATTACATAAATGCATTATAGACACAGCTTATTTTGAGCTTCACAGCCAGCGCACAAGGGAATACTGTGATTATCATCATCATTTTGTAAATGAGTGAACCGAGGCACAGAAAGGTTAAGCAAATCACCCAATGTCACACAGGCAGTAAAGAACAGAGCTGGGGTTGGAACCCAGGTAGCTTAACTGGCAAATTAGTGTTCCTAATGATTCCATTAGCTTCTTCAGGGATGCTGGGAGGAAAACAGTCAGAAATCCTAAATAAAACTGCCTAGAATGTGGTAGATAGTCAGAACATTTAGCTCCATTGTCCTGTTTTCTTTCTTCTTTTTCTTTTCTTTCTTTTTTTTTTTTTTTTTGAGATGGAGTCTCGCTGTGTTGCCAAGCTGGAGTGCAATGGCTCCATCTCAGCTCACTGCAAACTCTGCCTCCCGAGTTCAAGTGATTCTCCTGCCTCAGCTTCCCAAATAGCTGGGATTACAGACATGTGCCACCATGCCCAGCTAATTTTTGTATTTTTAGTAGAAAGGGGGTTTCACCATGTTGGCCAGGATGGTCTTGATCTCTTGACCCCGTGATCTGTCTGCCTCGGCTTCACAAAGTGCTGGGATTACAGGCGTATGTTACCACACCTGGCCTGTCCTGCTTTCTTCTATTCCTCATTTATCTGAAGCTCAATATGGCACTGTCATATTGTTTAACCATTCCAGTTCAGTGTTTAGTTAAGAAGGGACAACACAGCAAGGTTAAATAATTGGCCCAAGGTCTCAAAGCTGGGAACACAGTCATGAATTTCTTATTTTACTCCACGGAGTTTCAAGACTTTTTGCTTGGGCCGGCGAGTCATACATTTTGCATTTTCTTTTCTTCTGTGATTTGGTGAGGATTTTTCTCTTTTTCAAGTTTGGAGAAGGGGACTGCCTTCTGGAGCTACAAATTAATGAACACAGACATCACCCTGGTTTGGATTTATTTACATCTTCCATAAATCATATTTATTGAGTGCCTGGGGTGTACAAGACGTTGTGAGAGGTCCCACACATTAACGCAAGGAAAAAATAAACATTTCAGACACTCGGCGTATACTGCAGACTACTTAAATATCCGAAGGCATCAAATAAATCATCAGACTGTTTAGAAATAGGCTCTGGCACGCTCCCTGCAAACCTTCATACTGCAATCGTGCAATGAAGCTACGGACTGGTTACCACACAGCACTGGAAATATTTGTTAACACGAGTGAGTGGGCCAAAGGTCCCTGGATTCATCCACGTTTCTAAGTTTGGGGATATTGTGGCCTCCTCAGCAATCTCTCTACGAAGACTAACAACTTCTTCGGACCAGCGATGAAAATAAACACATCCGTAAGACAGAGAGAGCATTCCCTTTGCAATGAAGCTGACCCACCCAGAAACCATCTCCACCATCTTTAAACATGTCAAGACATGATTGTTAGGGGTGAAAGCAGCAGGTGCACATGTACACACAAACACAATACATATACACACAAGCACACGTGCCATACCTTATCTCTTTCTCAGCATGATGGCAGGATCATAGAAGATCCTATAGGAGCTTGTTCTGTAAACTATAAAACCCTTATATGCACTCACAAGGTTACTACGTCACCCCGTAAGTTCCAACTAAATGGAATCATGGCTTTACCTCATTTTGAATTGCCGGTGGATGTGAAACCAGTTTCTTCTGATGCCTGTCTTGCAGCTTAGCAGTGGTTAATCCCTTCTTGTGTGCACTTCAGATTGAACGTGTAAGACCGGTTGCCTCGCCGGGAGCTCGGACACGCCCATCCCTCTCCATGCCTGAAAATTACGTCACCAGAATCTGCCCTCAACACGCCCACTTCTGCACTCCGCACCAGAATCTGCACTCAACACTAAACTCTGCACTTGGCACACAGCCCACTCACCAGAAATCCCACATACCTACCAATAGCAGCTTGCCCAGTCCACGTCCTGTTTCTCCACAGCCAATCAAATGCCTTCCCTCCCTATAAAACCCCACGCCCTAGAGGAGTCAGGTGCGACTTCCCTGGCCCCTTTCTCTGGGACCATGGAACCTCGTCCAGGAGTTAAATAAGTTGGCATTTAATTTACTTATGCTGGCCTCAGTTTCCTCATTTTAAACTCGGCAATAAACCCCACAGGACAATAAACCTTACAGAATGGGCACAAGCTTTGTGTCACACCCTGTGTTGGACACTTGGTAGATAAAAATAAATCGGACAAGCTGCTGTCTTTGAGGAGCCCACAGTCAAATAGGGAAAAACACACAAAATCTACACGCGAGTCAACAATTCCAGTCTAGTGCTGTAGTCTTCAGTAGGGCCTACTTTGGAATCACAGAATGCAATAGGAAAATGCGTGTTTGGAGGCAGGGGCCAGGCCAACAGGGGAACGCAGGATAAGTGTGGAAGAAGTGCAGGTCTTCCAAGAAACTGCCTGAGGTCTGAGTGAAGGTCAGGGAGGCATTTAGGGGCTAAATCACAGACAACTTTATATGCTAAGTCAAGATGCATATAAAAAGATGACTTTATATGCTAAGGTAGTGAGATCTCTACTTTGAAAGTGATAGGTACACATCAAGTATTATTCTGTAAGGGAGTGACAGTATCAGATTTGCTTTTTAGAAATGTCTCTTTTCTATCATTGGTAACTTTCCTGTACCTTTGAGAGCAAAATGAAGGCTTCAGAAACCATCTCATATGCTTTAGGCAAATCTCTAGGTTAAAGATATCCCATGGGGACAATCTTCAAACCAAAAAGAACAATCGTGTTGAAAACATACAAGGTTACAGAAGCAAAATGTTCATGTTTTAGAAATTTTCAAGGTTTAGAATGATAGAAGAGAATAAACAAAAGAATTGAGGGAGAAAAACAGATGGGAGAGAGATGGACAGGAGGGAGAAAAGAGGGAGAGAGGGAAGATACAGGCTTTATAAGGTATATACATGCAACTCTTGACTTGGCTCCTTCCTAAGAACGTAAATATACATCAATTGCTTACCCCATCTGAGCCTCAGTTTTCTTGTTTAAGAAAAGGGGAAATGCTAATTTCTCATAGCGTAAGTGTGGGTGAGCTGTCCACCTGTGGCCAAGATAGCTAGTTGGCCATCAAAGCTCATGTTCTTTCTTCCATGATATGGAATTATGGCTCAGAAGGGACACATTTATCAGTCCTCTTTGTAGCCAGAGATAGCCATATGACTATTCTTACCCAAGGAATGTGAATAGAAATGTTGTGTATCACTTCTGGGTCAAGGTTTTTAAAAATTGAGTGTGCCTTCTCCATGCCCTTCTTCTCTTTTTGCTGGCTAGGTGCAGATGCCATTGAGGCCCTAGAGGATAACAGGCCCACAGATGAAAGAAGCCTGGGTCCCTGAATCACTGCATGGAAGACAGCCAACCTGGGTCCCCGAATCACTGCATGGAAGAGAGACACTCTAACCAGAAACTCCAGACTGGACTCTAAGGGGATCGAGATAGCTTGTGCTAAGCCACTAAAACTTTGAGGTTTGTTTTTTTACAGTAGCCAGTACTATTCTAACTAATACAAAACATTAGTATTAGTCATACAGTATATGAAAATAACAATGTTAATTGTTAATAAACACCATAGAAAGGGAGAATGCAGTACACCAGCTTTGCAATTACTTTTTATACAAAAGAAACAAAGTACAATTTCAAGATGATTACTTTTCACCAGTGTCTTTGGAAGAAACTTTTAATCAGCCAGCCCCTTAACAAGATTATCTCTTTGAGGGAAGGCAAAGCCAACACTGGATTTCTTGTCTCCCCTTCCCCTCTGAAAGCACCCTGCCAAGTTCTAACTGCCATTATTTAGCAAGTTCTTCAATTTAAAAAGTTACCATCTACTCACCGTCCTGGCAAAGCTGTCAGTTGCTGAGAAATGGAACATGGCCAACTGATTAGTTTTGATGGACTGCGGCGTGGAAATCCAGTCTGTGTCACTAAAGTGCCTGTTCATCCAATTAACCAAATTACTACGGGGAACTGTAGCCAAGTCCAACACTTGGTGGACGGCTGCTCCGGGAGGTCAGGGATGGAGGAGGAGGTGATTTTATCGAATGCCTGCCCCTCCTTCCCTGTCTTTGGGCCAAAAAGAGTGCTAAGCAGAGAGAACAGGAGAGCAGCACCTTCTCTACCTCTTCCTACCTGCCTTGAACACTTTGGCATCTCTTCAGAAAGATGCCTTGTTATTAATGTTATGGTGATGATGATTGGCAGTATTGTTACTTTTTAATTTAGTCACGTAACACATGCTTTTAAAGCACCTACTGTGTGTCAGGCACTGGGAACATAGCAGAGAACAAAGTAGTCAAGACCATGCCTTCCTGGAATTTACATTCTAGCAGGGAGAGAAAAACAGCCAACAGCAAAACGTTTCAGACTTGCTGCTCCACTATTGGCGTTTGGGATCAGATAATTCTTCGTGGTGGGGCATTTAAGGGCTAAATCACAGACAACTTTAAATGCAAAGTCACAGAGTGGGATCTCTACCTTGAATGTGGTAGGAGACATCAAGCATCTTACACATTGGAGGGTGGTGAGCAGCATCCCTGGCCTTGACCTCCTGGACGCCAGTAACTCACCAGCTACTCCTCCTGAGTTGTGATGACCAAAAATGTCTTCAGGCATTGTTAGATGTCCCCTGGGAAGCAAATCGCCCCCTCACTCCTCATCTTCCATTGGGAGCCACTATTCAACCATTAGGCAAATAACTAAATCACTAAGTGGGTGTGATACACACTGGGATGGATAGAAACAGGACAGCAAGAGAGAAAGATGAGTGGCCAGGTGATGTTTAAGATGGAACGTCAAGATGAGGAGGGACCAGCTATGCAAAGAGCTGGAGAAGAGTCTTCCAGGCAGAGGGACAAACGAATGAAGGCCTGCAGCATGAAAGCAGGTCTGCAGCAGGAAGAACCAGGCATGATGGAGCAGAGTGTAGGGGTAGGTATGGGCACATGATGGTGGTGGAAGAACACAGGTACAGGTTCTGGGTCTTGTCAACAAGATAAGGAGTTTGGATTTTATTTTAAGCACAACAAAGAGAGGCAATATGATGTGGCTAGGTGCTGGAGCCAGATGGCCTGTGCCTCAGTTTCTCCATCTGTATCATGGGGACAACAAAGGCACCTGTCTTATATACAGCTATGGTGATAATTAAATGAGATCATGCTGGGAAATAGAAGCTGCAGCTTAGTACAGAGGAAACTCAATGACTACTCAGTGAGATGTTGGAACCAGCTCCTTAAAGCCAACTTCCTGCATCTCTTCTCAACTCATACCTCTTTGGTAGCTTGGTTTCAAATTAGTGATGGCGGAATATTTACACCACAGGAATTGGCAGATGCTAGGAATCAGGGTTCTTCCTCACCCCTGGAGTGACCATATAGTTCAGCATTTTCTAGCACACCACTGTTTATCAGCTATTCTTATTAGGTTGGCTCTTGAAGAGTTTTTAGCAGAGGAGTGTCATGATTTCTTTTGCAGTTTAACAACGTAACTCTGGCTATGGCGCACAAAGTAGACTGGAAGGTGGAAGGAGGATTGGAAGCAAAGAGATCAGCGAGGAGGCTGTGGCAGTAATAAAGGCAAGAGATGGCCACTTCTACCAGAGGCTGATGGGTGACTTGCAGATCGGGGTTTGATTTGAGACTTATCCTGCAGAGAAAATGAATGAACTTGCTGGTGGATTGGATGTGGCAGAATGAACAGAACACGGATGGTGTTTGTGCACTTAGCAGCCAGATGGAAGGTAATGTGATCTCTCAGCCACTGCTATTGCTGCTGCTACAAGGACTATAACCACCACAAAATGTGCAATTGCCTCTTATTGAGCACCTATACACTGATTATAGATAGCATAGACATGTTTCTCTGATCTTCAAAATGCGGTGAGAAGATTACGATTAGAGTTAGCCCCATTTTGAGTATGTAACACTGAATCTCAGAGAAGTTCAGGGACTTGCCCAAAGTCACTCTGCAGGTAGATGGCACACCCAGGGTCCCAATCAGCTCCCGCCCACTCAGAAGCTCACTGCCACCACACAGCCTGCCTCACTTTCGATCTTGAATCTGCTCTACAAGTGCCCCTTACCAAGAAAGAGGGCCTTCCTTGCTCCCCAGTGTCTTCGGGGTTCACATTCAGGTGTGTCTTCACAGTGTTGCATAAGTAAAGACATCCAGGAGGGGGCTGCAGCATGAGGCAGTTAAAGGGGCTTAAATCTCACCCCTTCCCACTTTTAAACACTTCTCTAAAACTTTGAGTCTCTTTTTTAAAATCGGTTTTGGAAGGATTAGAAGAGGTGGCCCTAAATTTCCTGGGCAGATAATGATTATCATCCTCATAATCACGGTCACCATCACCATCACTGTCACCATAACTGTCACCATCACATAATCACCGTCACCACCATCACTGGAACTGTCACCACTATCACTGTAACTGCCACCATCACTGTCACCATCACCACCAGCACTACTATCACCAACACCATCACTATTAACATCACCATTAGCATCATCATCACCAACACCATTGCTATGAGTCACCATCACCATCGCCGCCATCATCACCAGCATCATAACAAAATTAACCTTTATCAAATGCTAGCAATGCAATAGGTATAATACAAAATGTCTTACTATTTATCCTTACTAGAACTCTCTGAGGTGGGTCATGTTACTAACCCAAAATATAGATGTAAAAAGCAAGGTTTAGAAAAGATTAAAGAAGTTGCTCAGATCACGTGGCCCATGGATGGCAGAACCAGAACTGAAACTCATTAAGAGTTCATGGGGTTTCTGGGCTCCGAAGTGTTTGTTCTTACAATTAAATTGCTCTCCATGCCATTGATTGCTTGAAAAGAGTAAGCTGTACAAATGTTGGGTAGGTAGTTTTTTCATCAATGTTAGAAATATGAGGTTCTTACAGAAAAAAAGCTCCTGACACTAGCTGACAGTCATGTCAGCTAGGTGGAGACTGTGTTGAAGGCAAGAGAAAGTTAAGACTTGTCAGAACAAGTGAATGAGGTACAGGAGCAAAGAGGCATTCAGGTCCCCTTGAGCGACATTGTATCCCCCATGAAAGAAATGTGTCCCAGTATCACAAAGCTAAGGTTACGGAAAATTCTGTCTGAAGGATCTAATCAAACCCCCTCTCCAAAAAAAATCTGAGTGTACGTTGTAGTTCTCCTCCTGGTTATTTTTCCATGAGTGGCCATGAGTGGCTCGCAGCACAGAAGAGGACTTCCTATGTTAACATCTGACTTGATCATCTAGGCTGAAAATTGCCTCTTCAGAAAGGATGCAACAAGCATATTTGGAACTGGGCAAATGTATCATATTGTTGAAACTCACATCTGTGCAGATAACCCTTGAAGTGTTCCGTGGAGTCGACAAAAAATGACACACACCACCATACCAACCATAATCGTAAACGGAAACTTTTTTCCTTTCTCTTGAAAACAGATTGCCTGGTCTGTATCATTATTTGTGTCAGTTGCATCAATACTTTCCTTGGCTTGTAGACACCGAAAGTGATTGTCGTGAATGCAAATTTTGTGGTAAAGGCCATTCATATTAGCAGACCCGACTTTTCAATCAATAATCTGTAGAATGTCATCTGGATGATGTCTCTCTTTGGATTATTTATTAGAATTCTTCCTGCTACAAACGGGATGGCAGATTTGTCTGTCTTTCGTAACAGGTCTGAAAATTTCTAAATGGTTTATTGACTCAGTCTTCCTACCCGCCACCTTCCCCTGCACTCTCTGTTTTTTCTAGATAGACAACCTCAGGGTGTGGCTCTGACAGTTAAAAGCAAAATTGGACTTCCTAGGGGCAATCAATTCGCCGTTTGCATTGATGCATCCTCTGAAAACTTTGAAATGCTACTGTCTGCTCACTAGATCCTGGTCCAGTGTCATTTGCTCACCACATTTAAAAGAACTCTGTGAGCATGACCTAGAAGAGGCTTCCAAGAGCCGATTCAAGGAATTTCCTGACGCTCCCTAGAAAATGGAAGCTGGTATTTGCTGCAACCTTCTAAGCCTTTCTAGGAGGGATGAAAATGCATTTATACTGCTCAACAGCCCAGGAGTTGAGAGTCCTTCTATTTATTTTGCAGGTGAGGAAATGAAGGCGCCAGTGACTTTAAATAACTTACCTGAGGCTACTCGGCTGGTAAACGACTAAGGGCAATTAGACCCAAGTCACTGAAGTTCTTCAAGAGCGGCGCTTCCCAAGCTCATATCCAAGTCTAGTGGATACAAATCTCCTGGGGTCCTAGTTAAGCTTATATCTAATTGTTCAAATCGGGACAATTTTGAACTTAAAAGGGAATGCTCT